GATGGAAGGATGGAAGGAAGGGTGGATGGATGGAAGGATTGATGGAAGGATGGATGGATGGGTGGGTGGATGGATGGAAGGATGGATGGATGGATGGGTGGGTGGATGGATGGAAGAATGGAAGGAAGGATGGAAGGATTGATGGAAGGATGGATGGATGGATGAATGGAAGGGATGGAAGGAAGGACGAAAGGACGAAAGGATGGAAGATAGGATGGAAGGATGGATGGATGGAAGGATGGAAGGAAGGGTGGATGGATGGAAGGATTGATGGAAGGATGGATGGATGGATGAATGGAAGGGATGGATGGATGGAAGGATGGAAGGAAGGGTGGATGGATGGAAGGATGGAAGGAAGGATGGATGGAAGGAAGGATGGAAGGAAGGGTGGATGGAAGGATTGATGGAAGGATGGATGGATGGAAGGGATGGAAGGAAGGATGGATGGATGGAAGGATGGAAGGTTGGAAGGAAGGATGGATGGATGGAAGGAAGGATGGAAGGAAGGATGGATGGAAGGATGGATGGAAGGATGGAAGGAAGGGTGGATGGATGGAAGGATTGATGGAAGGATGGATGGATGGATGAATGGAAGGGATGGAAGGAAGGATGGAAGGACGAAAGGATGGAAGATAGGATGGAAGGATGGATGGATGGAAGGATGGAAGGAAGGATGGAAGGAAGGGTGGATGGATGGAAGGATTGATGGAAGGATGGATGGATGGATGAATGGAAGAATTGATGGAAGGATGGATAGATGGATGGATGGAAGGAAGGATGGAAGGTTGGAAGGAAGGATGGGAGGAAGGATGGAAGATAGCATGGAAGGATGGATGGAAGGAAGGGTGGATGGATGGAAGGATTGATGGAAGGATGGAAGGAAGGATGGATGGATGGATGGATGGAAGGTTGGAAGGATGGAAGGGATGGATGGATGGATGGATGGGTGGGTGGATGGATGGAAGAATGGAAGGAAGGATGGAAGGAAGGGTGGATGGAAGGATTGATGGAAGGATGGATGGATGGATGAATGGAAGGGATGGAAGGAAGGATGGAAGATAGCATGGAAGGATGGAAGGAAGGATGGATGGAAGGATGGATGGAAGGATGGAAGGAAGGGTGGATGGATGGAAGGATTGATGGAAGGATGGATGGATGGATGAATGGAAGAATTGATGGAAGGATGGATAGATGGATGGATGGAAGGAAGGATGGAAGGTTGGAAGGAAGGATGGGAGGAAGGATGGAAGATAGCATGGAAGGATGGATGGAAGGAAGGGTGGATGGATGGAAGGATTGATGGAAGGATGGAAGGAAGGATGGATGGATGGATGGATGGATGGATGGATGGATGGAAGGTTGGAAGGTTGGAAGGATGGAAGGGATGGATGGATGGATGGATGGGTGGGTGGATGGATGGAAGAATGGAAGGAAGGATGGAAGGAAGGGTGGATGGAAGGATTGATGGAAGGATGGATGGATGGATGAATGGAAGGGATGGAAGGAAGGATGGAAGATAGCATGGAAGGATGGAAGGAAGGATGGATGGAAGGATGGATGGAAGGATGGAAGGAAGGGTGGATGGATGGAAGGATTGATGGAAGGATGGAAGGAAGGATGGATGGAAGGATGGATGGAAGGAAGGTTGGAAGGTTGGAAGGATGGAAGGGATGGATGGAAGGGATGGATGGAAGGAATGGATGGATGGATGGGTGAATGGGTGGGTGGGTGGATGGATGGATGGATGGATGGATGGATGTTTTCGTCACTATCATCTGGAGTCTAATAAACATATGTTTACATTACAAAATGTCACCATTTAAATTGCTTGCCATGGAAACCAATATTCCCTAAACTCAGAAGATGTAATAAATTAAAATCAATCTGACTGAACAAGCCATATTTTATCAAGTCAAAATAACATTATAATTTTAACAAAAAATGCCAGTTATTCTAAATGATATAACAATATTATTTTATAGTTAGTTCTTTAGCTGAGGCATATGTCCGAATCCAATAACTTGTATTTAAATTATTAGGGTTGCCTCATTGGTCCGAATTCAAATTTTACGAATCCCATTCGTCAGAATCCCAATGGCCCAAATCCCATTCGTCCGAATCCCAATAATCCGAATCCCATTCGTCAGAACTAATGGTACTTGAATTATTAATACTCACATTTTTATTAAAAACGTTGGCCATTTTGAATTGAGCAGCCATATGCATTTTGAAAATTCATTCTCAAGCATACTAAAATCTGATGGATGGACAAATGGGCAGACAGCTTATCAATATCCCTTACGAACTTAGTCTGGTGCCAGGTGGGATAATGATCTGTCATAAATCTTCAAATGTTTCAAACATAAGATAGTACTATACTAGTGTTAGCCATTTTGAATTGAGCAGCCATATGCATTTTGAAAATTCATTCTCAAGCATACTAAAATCTGATGGATGGACAAATGGGCAGACAGCTTATCAATATCCCTTACGAACTTAGTCTGGTGCCAGGTGGGATAATGATCTGTCATAAATCTTCAAATGTTTCAAACATAAGATAGTACTATACTAGTGTTATAAATACTTAAATATACTTACTCATCACACTCTTTCAGTTCCACACTGCACCTCAGACAGTTCATCTGAAAATATATTAAACATGAAGGGAAACTATATCCTGGAAACACACAACTTCTCAAGTTAGGCCCATGGGGCTTTTGGCCCGAAAATTTTGTAAGGCATAAAAAATAGGCCTTTGACAGTTTAAGAGCATAACCTTTTGGGCCCTTTTTTAGGCCACATTATCAATAAATGGGCCTTAAATTTTCATATATTGGGCACATTTTTGGTTTTAGGGGCCCAAAATATTTTCCAGCGTCATTGACAGGGTATCGATGATTGTTTGTTTTGCTGGTTGGTTGGTTTATTGGAAGATTAGTTGGTTTGTTGCTTGCTTGCTTGTTTGGTTGTTTGTTTGCTTGATTGGTTGGATGGCCGGTCCGTTGCATCCTCCGAACGCAGGGATCCAGAATCATAAACAATGTTCCTTCCTTCTTCACTTTGTGTATGATTCTGGAACGCTGCGTTCGGACGATGGTCCGTTGAGTTAGAGCCCAACTTGGTGGTTTGTTGCTTGGATTGTTCAGTAGCACGTTTTAGGACATAAAATGAAAAAATTAAATTCCTTACCCTGCTAGGAACGTAAAGTACCCAGTCACCCGGATACCCGGTCACCTGGTTTTTTACACAAACCCCAATTTTCGCATGATTTTTTAGCCAAAACTGTCAAACTGTCTAACTGTTGATGCATGATGCAATTTGAAGTAGGCCTATACCCATAAGGTCATAACTCAAGAATAGTAGGCCCGGGATAGTAGGCAAAACCACAGTCTATATGCAGTTATGATTCCCAAAATCATAACGTTCTGCATAAAGATTGTGGGCCTAAACAACAAAGCCAATAAATTTTGAAAAAAATTAAGTCTGCCGGACTTGAGCCTAGATTATTGGCCTTTTACATCTTTTGCAGACCTAACTCAAATTACATCTAAATTACATATGGACTTACCTTAGGCATGGACCTATATCCTGTTCAATATAAAGGCAAATCTAGCAGTATAACAAATTTCCAAGACTTCTTCCGGGAAGTTTAGGCGGCTAATAACTACACGTGCATGACGCGTGAGATTCAAACTCAATAAAACGTGGATCTGCGCATCGATCTTTGTAACGTTATTTAGATTGTCATAGATATAATTACACTTCATTTATACAAAATTATATATACATTATGGTAAATTAAAAGGTATAGGACTATTAAAAGTATGACTGACAAAAATACTAAATATATGCGCTTGGTCGAATTTGCGCCAAGCAATAGATTGGTTGTACACTGTAAGACTGCCCGATCAACAAAAAATCGCTTCGATATATCAAAAACAACACTCAAATAGCTCAAATGAACATTATGCAATGCCGGCTTTATCTTATGACGAGACAGATGTCAGACCTATAAATAAAGGCATATGGATGCATAAATTCATCTATAATTCAGGATAAACTGAGATTGAATAATGTTTTAAACCTTTTAAAAATTTAACTCTTTAAAGACTGGGTCAGGACCCACGTACGTGGGTACGAGGGTACGTGGGTAGGAGGTTTTTTATACAAAGCCCATAGTTGACATCAAATGGTTCACCTTATAAAGCATTTCACAACAACATTCAGTTTTACTTTGTCATTTGAACTATAACCAAATCATTAATCTGTTCCATATTTGTGAAGTCATGAAATCACCATGTAAGCATATAACATGTAACCATGTAACAATGCACGTCACATTGGCGGGAGATTTCAAATCTGTGGAAAAAGTGATATGTGTGGAATATTCTCTGTATTCCACAGATATCGCTTTTTACCACGCATTTGCAAAATATCATAAATATATATACGTGTTATTCTACAGATTTGACCTCAACTAAGGGATAAGATCCTATACCGTTTGATATGTGATGTTATATGTAATCAATGATTTAATAGTATGTGAGTCATTCCATTGATTCTTTATACATGTACATTTTGATTGGTTTATCAGTTGCAGTAGGTAACATTTGAAGAGCAGAAACAATAAGCTCAAACAACTGATGAAAACATTAAAAAAACATAAACTGAAAATAATTATTAATTTCTTGCATTTTAATACCAGGATAAATAATACAAAGGCTTATCATATTGTATATACTATCTGGGACTAATTTAGACTCTTAGATAAGATATTGGCCCTGTTCTTGAAATTTAGGATAACAACTTAACAATAATAAGTAAGATTGTTTACCACATGTTTTATTTTAATAAGGATTTACTTGTTTTGACACCTATTTGTGTTAAATGTTAATAGTATACAAGATAGACAAATGTTCAAATTACTGGAAATCATACACAAGCGCTTAGAACAGAGTCCAAACACTTCCACTTTGGGAGATATAAATATAGTGACCATAATGTGGACTTCACCAAAGAATCACTTGGACCTTTCAAGGCAACACACCATACAACTGAAGACACACAAAAGCTGCATTATTTTTCAATATCAAAGGTAAGTCTTTATTGCTATTTATTAGTATTGAGGATAAATTGATACTCTAAATGTTGTGTATTTTGGAAAATTGTTTTTGTCAATTTGACTGAAAGCTAATTTCTCCTGCAGGAGACAGTTAAATTTACTTTATGTGGCTACTTTATAATGATTCCATGCATAAGGCAGAATTGTATTATTCAGTAGAAAATGACAAGTATCATTTACAAAAGATAACTTTAGTCTAGATTTTGTTCGTGAATGTAATTTGTAAATGAAATTATTATGACATTTTGAGAAGTGTATTTTAAAATATTTTTATGATATTTTCAGACTAAATCACCATGAAGATAACATTGATGTTTCTCACTTTGGCCTTAGTTGCCTGTATGCAGACTAGTGATGCTTGGAGGATTCGTCTTCCACGTCTTGGCCTCCGTCGAATCATAGCTCCCATCTGTTCTAATATATGTAACCAAAAATGCACTCTACCAGGAGTATGTGCCCCAGTGTGCCACAAGGTCTGCAATATTGGACGCAAGCGCCGTTCAGTTGTTAATAACGAAGATGAACTACCATTTTCATCTGATTTCTTCAAGTACGACGTGAATTATGATGATGTCATAACACTTACAGAGTTCGCAGATGCTATCGACTCAACTCCAGATGAATGCATTGATGTATTTGGAACTACTGATCAAAACAGTAAGTCAATCCTTCATAAATATTAGGAAATTACATAAGTATCATTATCTAATGTGTTTCTGAGAATGCACAAATAGCAGCAAATGTGAAACACATTCATTTATACTGTGGCAGAAAATACACATGTATATTAACCTCAAAAATTGTAAAAATCCAATAACTCCTGTCTTCATTGTCTTCAAACTTCATTTTAATTGAGTTGGAATTCTTGAATTATTCAATTTCTTCATATAAAATTGGAATTCATTTAACAAACCATAGTCTGTTAATTATTTCCACTTGTTTTTCACAACCTGCTCTAGAGGTTATTCTGAAACTTCTACTTTATTTTTTCAGATGATGGTGTCTTAGACATGAGTGAATTCATGAACGGACCATTCCGATTCAGTTCTGAGTAATAAAGGAGAACTCTCTGCCTGGGATGCATCAGAAAGATTGACCAGTAATACAAGGCAATCAAGTGACAATCCTGGACTTATTCAGTTTTCAAGAAGGAACTACTGATCTCATATATATTTTATTTATATTTATTCAGGAACTTAGTTATTCAGGAAATGTAGTTTTAAACAGACTAGATAGAGAATTATCTGCAACTTGTCATGGAATCAGCCAAGATTTTAAGCAGGCTTGTGCTCAGGAATTGACTATAAATCATCTGATCTCAGAAATATACAAGAGAAATATATACAATATTTTAACTAACTGTAGATATGTTTATATAACATGTATAAAGGACTTAAAGTAATTAAACAAGAGTGTGCAGTATTTTAATCCACTTCATGAAACATATGGAAGGGAACATAATTATTCAAGTGTTCAATGTTTCTTTTTGTATGCAGTGAAACGAGCTGTGTAGCAACTGCATAAATAGCTCCTGTAGTTTTACATGTCAAATAGTCACCTGTTACACTTCTTCCTTACTTGATAAGCCACCTGTCTCTTGTTTCTGTGAAAAGTAGTGGCAAACAATTGACTTATAAGTAATGGCAAACACAAATTCTTGTTTTGTAGTATTGTTCAGTTTATGAATTTGATATAATAAATGATCAATCAAAAAAAGTTATTGATTTGTTTAGTAGATTTTATATAATTTAAAGTTTTGGGAATTGCAAGAGTAAAAAGTAGTTTCAAAATGTAGTTTACCATTTTAACTCTCGGGATTATAGGCTCCATATGAATCCCTATTTCCTTTCAGGATGATAGGCTCCTTTTGGCACCATAATTTTTATTTGTTTACATCAATACAATGATGCTATCACCAGTTCTATTTCTATTCTATTTCCCCTAAAACATTTTCCTCTTATATTCACATTCTATATTATTTATTCTAAAGTTACATTCATGGCTGTGCTATTCATATTACATGATGTCAAAGAGAAAATAGTACTTTTGTAACCAGTGGAAAAGGATCATATTTTTGACTTTTAAACCAAGAGACATGCTACATGTCTCAAAAAGAAGTTGACAGTAACAACGACCAGTGAGGTATTTGAAAACTTTGATTTAAGTCATTAAATTACCTTTTATATGGAATAAAAAGTTATCTATGATTTACTCATGATATTATACTTAAACGACTGATCAATATTGTAATGTGTACCCTCACTACACTCGCTCGTGCAGATATGTCAATTTGTGGATAAAAATCACTCATAAATTATAGAAAATTCTCTCTGTATATAGTATTTAAATGGCAAAGTTATCAATGTATTTACATATTTCTGTATCTTAATCTTAAATCTCCATAATACTAATAATCATTATTACCCCCTTGCTGGGCCTGTTCTAGGAAACATTTAGTTATCCCAACGGACGAAGGGGTGAAATAGTGAAGCCCTCCGTCCATCAGTCAGTCTGTCCGTCTTTCCGGAAGATAAACCCGAATACTAGTGGACAGATTTTTTTCATATTTGTGTAAAGATGTATATTGGTGAATAGTTGTACACAACAAAAAAATGTCCAAGATGGCCACCATTTTAAAAATGGCGGGACCTTTTGTGAAAATCTTATGTTTTTCATTTCAAACCAATGTAATATTATCATTGTTTGAAATTTTGGTTGTATATTCACAGCATCTATCTATTCCATATATATTCTGAGTTTTCACCATGATACCCACGGGCCATGTATGAGGGGTCGGGGAAATGGGAATTTGCATTAATTTTGAGATCTTTTTTATACTCAAATAAAAGGCAATTTAGAGTAGATTGCAAATATTGTATCGGTTTTGTAATTTGGGCCTCGTAAAATTTAAAATTGCCCCCTTATGTGAGATTTCACAATATTTTTCTGATCCCTTAAAGTATGGCTATATTATGCTCAAATTAAGGAAGTTTTGAGTGGAGCATTACTATGGTATTGTCTTTCTGATTGGTGCCTCAGAAAATTCAAAATAGCTGCCAAAAGGAATTTGCGTTAATTTTGAGATCTTTCTGAAGTATTGCTTTATTATACTCAAATGAAAGAGTAGATTTAGAGTAGATTGCAAGTATTCTATCTGTTTTGTAATTTGGGCATCGTAAAATTTTAAATGGCCACCTCCTTATGTGAAATTTCGCAATAATTTTCTGATCTCTTCAAAGTACATGTATGGCTATAGTATTCTCAAATTAAAGGAAATTTAGGGCAGATCACTATTTTGGTATTGTTTTCCTGACTTATGCTTCAGAAAATTCAAATTGTATTTATTATTTGTGCCTTTAAAACTCTTGGAAATATTTATAGAAATTCTGATACAGCGTATATATGTATTGTTTCCAATGTATTTTTGTGACAAATACAGATTCATATATGTTAGAGTGTTCGTTGGGATTTGCTGCTCAGTGGAATTGCCATTTTTTAGTTTAGAATTTATTTTACTATATTGACGTCATAGTGGCAGGCCAATATTGGATTTACGGCCCGGCAATGTTGAAATGACGTTATTGTACTATTCCTAACTCCATCATTTAGACTGAAGTAATAAATGTGGGTGTTCTCAATAATGGACAAATATCATTTGATTTTCTTTAATGAAGTGTGAAGTTTCTTTCATTTTTATATGAATAAGTATTGCTGAGAATGATATAAGGCAAACGAATCCTAAATCTAAGATTTTACCTCTTATAAATGTTTTTCACAAATAAACAATGATTTTACATTCAGCAGAAAGTGGCTTCATTTTTTTCGTCCTCCTGCAAAATATTAATAATTGCACTAATTTTAAACCTAGCCTTGACATGTGTTCCATTTTTGATAATAATCACATGCCTGCCTTACTGACCTTAATGTTTCTATCAAGATATTGGGATGGGATAAAGATATTATTTTATTTTTCATGTTTGCAGTTGAGTGTAATTCTCATGTAAAAACTTGATTGTTTCAAGGCCAAGCAAAATGATTGATATCAGTAGAATGTTTTTTTCTATTATTAAGCTGAACAACTTGCCCCCCCCCCCTTAGACATTGAAAGGGTTTAATAATAAAATTGGAAAACATAAAATGTACTTTATGTTATTCAAGATGAATTCATACTGTAAAGAACAAAAAACTAAACTAAACACTAAACTGAACTGTTGTAGCCAGGTTATAAACCATATCATGTTGCTAAATTATGTGGTTAATGTTTTTTTTCTATTTGATGAACTGAAATATATATTTTTCTGATACCTTAAAGTATATATTATAGGCTATATTATACTCAAATTAAGGAAGTTTTGAGTGGAGCATTACTATGGTATTGTCTTTCTGATTGGTGCCTCGGAAAATTCAAAATAGCTGCCAAAAGGAATTTGCGTTAATTTTGAGATCTTTCTGAAGTATTGCTTTATTATACTCAAATGAAAGAGTAGATTTAGAGTAGATTGCAAGTATTCTATCTGTTTAGTAATTTGGGCATCGTAAAATTTTAAATGGCCACCTCCTTATGTGGAATTTCGCAATAATTTTCTGATCTCTTCAAAGTATGGCTATAGTATTCTCAAATTAAAGAAAATTTAGGGCAGATCACAATTTTGGTATTGTTTTCTTGACTTATGCTTCAGAAAATTCAAATTGTCTTTTTAGACTCCAGATGTCAATCTGGAGTCTATTGTTTTTGCCAGTATTCTTCTTATTCTTATTCTTATTATTCTTATTATTCTTTAGGAGTTTTTTCAATAACTATGAAGTATCCAGTAAGGACCATAATACAGTTTATTTAGGTTCAGTATCTAGTTGGTGGGAAATTGGGTCAATTTTTTATCTAGGTCAAAGGTCAAGAACTAGGTCAAATCCAGTACTTTGTCACTTTTTTCGATTTTGTCGGTCGTCCTTCAATATTTTGGATCCGGGTTTTTTTCATTGTGTTCCTCATAAAAAAGTAGAAAATCTAGGGTCGATTTAGTTTTTTGGTATCTCAAACCGATTTCGAGATATCAGTGTCCGAAAACGAGATCCAAAAAAAAGTTCTCCGAATCCAATGTCTAGGATATCAGTCTTATAGGAAATTTTCTCAGGATTCCGAATCTGAAAACCAAATTTCGATCTGACTTCCGGTTCAGAAGTTATGGCGTTTTGAAAATTCAAAAATCGCTAAATTTGGTGCCCCATGTTAATTCAATGGAAAAAAATATTTTTTTGAAGTGTAAAATACGAGATATAGACTAAGCACAGCTAAACATAATGGAAGCCCATAGAAGAAAGGGACCTCAAAACCTTCTTTTCATAAAAATTTGGACACCAAAATGCCTAGGTCAAAATCTAGGTCAAATTCAAAGTTTTTCCTTATTTTTGCGATTCTGACACTACAGATTAATTATATTCTTCGAAATTTTGTATACATGTAGCCAAGAGTATGCTAATAGTGTTAGCCTTTTGCCGTCAGAAAGTATTTTGACCCACTTTTGAGATATGGTGTCCGAAAAGTAGGTCAAAATAAAAAATTCTCCAAATTTAACGTTTGAGTTATGAATTAAGTATAGAATTTTCTCAGGAATCCGAATCTGCAAACCAAATTTCGATCCGACTTCCGGTTCGGAAGTGATGACATTTTGAAAGCTCAAAAATCGCTAAATTTGGTGCCCCATGTTATGTCAATGGGATAAAAGATTTTTGTGTAAAATACGAGATATAGACTAAGTACAGCTTAAAATAATGAAAGCCTATGAAAGAAGGGGACCTCGAAGGCTATCTAACTTCAAAATTTGGACACCAAAATCCCTAGGTCAAAATCTAGGTCAAATTCATAGTTTTTCCTTATTTTTGCGATTCTGACACTATATTTAAATGATTTGCTTCAAAATTTTGTATACAGGTAGGAAAGAGTGTGCTAATAGTGTTAGCCTTTTGCCGTCAGAAAGTATTTCGACCCACTTTTAAGATATGGTGTCCGAAATGTAGGTAAAAAAAACAAACATATTTAACATATGAGTTATGAATTAAGGGTAGAATTTTCTCAGGAATTCGAGTCTGCAAACCAATTTTCGATCCGACTTCCGGTTCCGAAGTAATGGCGTGTCCAAAAAGTAGGTCAAAATAAAAATTCGCCAAATTTAACGTATGAGTTATGAATTAGGGGTAGAATTTTATCAGGAATCCGAAACTTTAAATCAAATTTAGATCCGACTTCCGGTTCGGAAGTTATGGCGTTTTGAAATTTCGGTAAATCGATCTGATGGTATCCTGATAGAAAGTCAAGAGTAGAGAAGAAAATATTGAAAAATTCATCCATCCTTCAAATCTGATCCTATCCTATCCATCCTATCTATCCTTCCTTCGTATCAGCTTTCCTTCCTATCCTTCCTATCCTCTCCTATCATATCCTTTCTTCATATTCTGTTCTATCCTAAAAAAGTCTAGATCTGGAGTCTGAAATTGAACTTCGTTCAATTTCCAAAGTCTAGTTATTTGTGCCTTTGAAACTCTTCGTCACCGAAATGCTTTTAAAATTCATAGAAATTCTGATACAGCGTTTATATATATTGTTTTCAATGTTTATATTTTTGTGACAAATACAGATTCATATAAGTTAGAGTGTTCATTGGGATGTGCTACTCCGTGGAGTTGCCATTTTCTAGTTTAGAATTTATTTTAGTATATTGACCTGTCTGCAATATGTGACGTCATAGTGGCAGGCCAATATTGGATTAATGGCCTGGCAATGTTGAAATGACGTTATTGTACTATTCCTAACTCTATCATTTAGACTGAAGTAATAAATGTGGGTGTTCTGAATAATGGACAAATATCATTTGATTTTCTTTAATGAAGTGTGAAGTTTCTTTCATTTTTATATGAATAAGTATTGCTGAGAATGATATAAGGCAAACGGATCCTAAATATAAGATTTTACCTATAATAAATGTTTTTCACAAATAAACAATGATTTTACATTCAGCAGAAAGTGGCTTCATTTTTTGTCCTCCTGCAAAATATTAATTATTGCACTAATTTTAAACCTAGCCTTGACATGTCTTCCATTTTTGATAATAATCACTTGTCTGCTTTACTGACCTTAACTATACACAGATGTTTCTATCAAGATATTGGGATGGGATAAAGATACTGTTATATTTTTCATGTTTGAAATTGAGTGTAATTTTCATGTAAAAACTTGATTGTTTCAAGGCCAAGCAAAATGATTGATATCAGTTGAATGTGCTTGTTCTATTATTAAGCTGAACAACTTGCCCCCCCCCCCCTCCCCCCCCCCCCCTTAGAGATTGAAAGGGTTTAAAAATAAAAACTTGAAAACATAAAATGTACTCTATGTTATTCAAGATGAATTCATACTGTAAAGAACAAAAAACTAAACACTTAACTGAACTGTTGTAGCCAGGTTATAAACCATATCATGTTACTAAATTATGTGGTTAATGTTTTTTTTTCTATTTGATGAACTGAAATGTATGTAAAATATGTGTCCTTGTCCTATAATTAGGTTTTGTGCAGATGTCCAATATCATAGAACAATTTAAATCTATGTTTGTTTAGAGAATATATTCATAACTACTCGATTATTAATAATTAAACTAGTTTACTATTTACAAAATATTTATCATTTTTGTTATCCTGTCAAAACTTCTTAATATAATACTATATACTGTAATACATATAAAGATGAATTAGATGACCTAATCAGTATGTGAATTGTGAGTGTACAAATGTATCATATATTTACTTCCTTATCATTTGTCTTTATTCCTGGAATCTAGGATTAGACTGAATACAAATAAGGATATGTTTGTAACAAAACTCACCAACTCTAAACAATTCTCTTCCTATTAATCAACATACACAGTCTATTTTCTGTATTATTTGTATGATTTAGAGGAAATCACACTTATTAACAAAAAATACACTGCAGGACTTCCAATTTTTAACATATAAGACAATGAGTAATTTTAAAAAATCAGTTCAATTTTAAGTGACTCCTTGAATGAGAAGAGGATAACACATTTAGAGGATATTCTGATGCCAAAGGGTGAGTTTTTTCCTCACATTTTTTCTTTAAATTTTAGTTTCTAAGATTTTGAGAGTAAAATATCATGTGTTATTATACATTGAAACTTGTAAAGTGGAACACCTTTAAAAGTGGAACACCTCCCTAGTGGAACACTTTTTAGAGGTTATTAAGATGTTCCACTTAGACAGGTTTTACTGTATATTTTTTATTTTGTATTATGGCCATAATTAGTAAATAATTAGTTAGCGATAATAGCTTTTTAACATAAAATTCTTTTAATTGTGTGAAATCAGAAGAGGCCCAATAAATGACATTCATTATATTAAACCAATATGAAACCTCAATGTGATGCAGAATTTACTTCTTTTAAAAGCTATGTTGATTTTAATTATTTTTTTATTGTTCATCTCCAACATTCTAATGTGAATTCTCTTTGCTGCTCTTGCACGGGCATTCAAAAATGCAGCTCTCATACTCATTTATGTTTTCTGATTTTGACATACATTTGTATGTCATTGTATGTGTTTGTAAATTGTATACTTTTGATTTCCAGGTTGAGTAAATATGAAGTCAGCATTCATTCTTGTCATTGTGACTCTTGTTGCCTTGGAATCTACAGATGCTTGGAGAAGTAGGCTTAAATTGAGTTGTCTACCTTACTGGACCATAGCTTGTAATGACCCTACTGATTGTGCTCCAGCAAATCACAGTATATGTTGGATAGGACGCATCTTAAAAAGAATTATTCGTGTACGCAATGGTGAAAAACGATTCTCTCGTGATTTCTACATGTATGATTTAAATAATGATGAAAGGATAACTCTGTCTGAGTTTGCTACTGCTATATCATCTACACCTCAGAAATGTGTTAAGCTGTTTGAACTTGCAGATAAAAATGGTAAGTGACATAATGTTGTTACTCTTGAGGAGATTATGTGTTATTCATGTAAAACATTTTGGTATTTCCCTCCTTAATTAAAAATTGGATGAAACATTAGTGCATAAATGCTTTAGAGATCATATTATGATGTTCATCTCAAAATAAAAACAAGATTGTTTTTCATAATTTTTTTGTTTGTTTATGCTTTTACAGGTGATGGTGTTCTAAGTAAGAATGAGTTTTTCCCTACTCAAGGACGTGCTCCATTTCTGTTTGACTATAGTACGTGAAAAAACAACAACCCAGGATGCTCCAGAGCAGATACTGACCAATCAAAAGGACTTTTTATCATAACATTGGACTGAATAACCTTCCTTCCAATGTACTATGAACTGTCTCAAATATATTATCCCCAAAGGATATGTAATATCTTATCAAATAGTGAAATTATTAAAGGTTCAAAAGTCATTTGAAGTGCAAAATTGTGTAAATTCATTGAAAATGGAAACATGAATGTAAAAGTTTGCTTTATTTTAAAAGGTTGCTTTATTAGATCTGATTCTGCCTTTCACCATTTCACGGAGATGTAACATTGCTGTTTTAAATATTCTTATTTGTATTTAGTGACATCTATAAAGATTTTGTGAGTTAAATGCGTACATGCATAGAAAATATGGATTTTCTACATTTTTATTTTTGATACATTTATAGTTGTATAAAATAAATATTTTGATAAATATGATAACAGATGTTATGTTGCTACAAAAGTTAATCAACTGAAATTTTAGTCCTCTATCATCTATAAAGGTTTGTTGAATCTCCTCCCCTTCACAAGATTTCCACTAAATGTGATAAAACCAAAGGTATAAAAACAGCTCAACTGAATGGGAATTGTATCTCACATCTTGTTCTGAAGCCATCATTACATGTATGTACATTATGAATGTATTGTCTTATGACAACTGTACAGACATGCTTTTGGTGTTATCATTATTCATAGAATTGAACTTGAATAGAGATGATTTGACTCTTGAATCATATTAATCGTTCTTGTGTTATTTTTACATACTGTACATTGTACAACTTGGCACCTTACTCATTCAGATTTCATCAACTCAATATTGTATTATTATGTCACCACGGAGGTCACATATTGGTGTGTTCTCCAACTTTTTTGTGGATAGCATTTGTAACAAATTTCTTGTAACAAATTCTTGTAACAAAATCTTACAACTGCCAATAACTTAACAAGTACTGTTAAGACTGGCTTCAAATTTTTCAAAATCATATACAAGTTCTCAGAAGTTCAAATCTGACTTTAGATTTGACCTTCAATGACCTATTCCAAGTCAAAATAGGTTAAAAATGTCTCTTTCGGACTTGTTTCAAATTATCCAATTTTTCAAAATCATCTACAGTCCACAGATGTTCAAATCTGACTTTAGATTTGAGATTTGACCTTCAATGACCTTTTCAAACTTGCTTTAAATTGACCAAATTATTTTTATCAAAATAATCTACAAGTTCTCAGAAATTCAATTCTGACTTTAGATTTGAGATCTGATCTTCAGTGACCTTCTCATTTGAACTGCAACCAGGTGGAGACATAATGTCATGTTAATGCCTTGTTTTTTAATTGTTTTGGAAAAATGAATAACATATCTCTGGTTCATATTTATGTATGTATTTTTATTTATATAAATAAGTAAGAAATTAAAAAACTAATAATTTTGTTAAATGAGCCCCAGCAATGTTTAATTTACAATAAGATTAGGACAATATGTTTTTTGTTATTCCAGGGAGATAATGCACTTATGTAATGTTCTTATGTACAAAGGAGCATTGCAATGCGGTACAACAGCAGTGGCGAACCAGAGGCTAGTTCTCAACACAGAACCTCTTCAGGTATAAATCAATAGATCAATGGTCAATACAGTGATCACCAGAAAGTGGTGACATATTGTTATAGTCTCCAACTTATTGTGGACAGTGTTTGGTGTTCGGCAGATTGTTTTTGGCATCTGTAATAAATGGCAGGTGGTGAAATTTTGCGTATAATGCCGTGGATGTTTTATAATTAATTATCTTTTCTTATTCTTATGGCACTTGTTATTGCATATTTATTCCAGGAAGGTCAATTTTTTCAATGTACTTCCAGTCTAAAGCTTAATACTTTTTTCTTTATTCTTATGGCACTTGTTATTGCATAGTTAATTTTTCTTCAATGTACTTCCAGTCTAAATTCCAGTACTTTTTCTATAGCCTTATGCCACATGTTATTGCACTTCAATTTTTCTTCAATGTATTTTCAGTCTAAAGCTAAGTGGATAGAGACCTCACTGAGTGACACATCCTCACCTGTTGTGTTCCTGGATACCAGCCAGATAGATGCACATGACTCTGTTGATGAACAGGGCCTGGTAAAGAATGAAGCGGAGGTTGAGATTGTTTGTGAAATAACAGATACGCTTATACAGGTGTGAATGACACTGCTTGGCTTAATATCAATTATCATATTATTCTGAGCATGTTTATCTATTGATTTTTAGTAAGTCAGTAGAATTCTAGTCAAAGTTCAACTTTCCTTGAAGTATTGTTTAACTTTTGATTGTTTGTGAAATTCTTATTCAGGTGTGAATACTTTAGTTCAATATTATGAGCATTTTAATCACTGCTTTGTTGTAAAAGTAAAAAAAATTTGAGTCTAGTCTAATATTCTGATATATGCCTCAAGGCGTCACTGTGTATTACATGTAGTTTTTGATGTACATAATTTTTAGAGTTAAATAAATAATTGTAGTGTGGTGCAAAGCCAGAAGACATCGGAGTTATAGCTCCTTATCGGAACCAAGTCAAGTTAATTAAGGAGAAATTTATCCGGCATGGTGCAAATATTGGACTAGGGTCTCATAATGGCATAGGGCATGGCATAAATAATGGAACAGCATCAGTGGAGGTGAATACTGTGGACCAGTATCAGGGAAGAGATAAGGAGATTATAATTGTGTCATTCGTTCGCAGCAGCAATGATCCAAATACACCTGTAAGTGATAAACACACTTTATATAGATTAGTAATGTATTGTCATTTTTCAATGGTTTCATGCTTATTTTACTGCTTGAAGGAAAAACTGAGACAATTTTCAATATTTTTCTAAACCTATAACTGAAACCTAGTTTTGAAAAAATAATCATCCTCTTTTTCTATACGAATATGAAATTTCTGCATTTTTGATCTCTTCATATCCCTTCTGATTCTACAGTAGTTCAATATTGGTTCATATTTTTGTATGTAATGCATAATCTATTGTATTTGCCTTTTATTTGGCGATTTTCTGTTTTTGGGCCTATAGCGTCAATTAAATTTGGCGATTATTTCAATTCGCCAAAATTCGCCAATTTAAAACGCTCGCCAAATTAAAGACAAATACACTATCCCAATGAGTTTCATGCCATCTATTGTCAGTCTTTGTAGCCATTAAAAAATGAGGAAGTAATTCATTGAAAGTTTTTCTCTTACAGGTGGGGGAGTTACTGAAGGATTCCAGACGACTCAATGTAGCGATCACTCGTGCCAAATGTAAACTGATCCTATTGGGTAACAAGTCTACCTTGGTCTCCTATGAACCAATCAAAACCATCCTGGATGCATTGATACCAGAACAAGTATCCTTTACTGAGAATTTTAGCTTACAGAGATTCTTGCAGTGAGACCCATCCATTTTAGTGCCCATGGGTGCTTAACTAAATTTCCTGACATTCGATGTGATTCTATTGATAATTAGATTCAAATCATTTTTATATAGAATTAATGAGTAATGAATTTCAAGTAAATGTAGCACTGGAGATTCTCATATTTAAGGCTTACATATCTTATATATTGTGCCCATGGCAGCTCCTCCTTGGAGTTTTCAGTTTTCAACTCAGAATGGCTATATACAGAATTATGAATATGCTATATTTGGCTTACATCTGCATAACAAAAAGTTTCATAATGTTTAAAATTTATGAAAAAATATTTCACAGCAAGCAAATGTAGAGTTAGAAAACTTTTTGCTGTATCTTCTCTCACTATCTTAAACAAATAGGCCTGTCACTCATGAAATACCAATATTACACTGTTGGCCTTAGTATAGTAAAAATAAACATAATTTATTTACAATATATCCAAGTAAGAGTAGTATTTTGTGGTTGTTTCCTTAACAGAGTGTCAGGTTGTCCAACTAACGAGATGACACTGTGCAACAAGATGACATCAGTCCATAAGATGTCACATTGCTAACTAGAAAACATTGCTCATTGCAAAACAAATGACACCTGTGTACAAGATGACTCTCAAACTAGATGACATCAGCACATTGAATGGCTCATTACTAAATAGATGATACAGAGCACTGGTTGACATTGTCTCACATGATGACACCAACTCACTATTTGATACATTACCTAGGAGACAACAACTCAATGTGTCACTTGCTAACTCACTAAGGTGTCACTTGCTAACTCACTAAGGTGTCACTTGCTAACTCACTAAGGTGTCACTTAGCAACTCACTAAGGTGTCACTTAGCAACTCACTAAGGTGTCACTTGCTAACTCACTAAGGTGTCACTTAGCAACTCACTAAGGTGTCACTTAGCAACTCACTAAGGTGTCACTTGCTAACTCACTAAGCTGTCACTTGCTAACTCACTAAGGTGTCACTTGCTAACTCACTAAGGTGTCACTTAGCAACTCACTAAGGTGTCACTTAGCAACTCACTAAGGTGTCACTTGCTAACTCACTAAGGTGTCACTTAGCAACTCACTAAGGTGTCACTTAGCAACTCACTAAGGTGTCACTTGCTAACTCACTAAGCTGTCACTTAGCAACTCACTAAGGTGTCACTTGCTAACTCACTAAGGTGTCACTTAGCAACTCACTAAGCTGTCACTTGCTAACAAGGTGACTCCAGCAGACTCGATGACTTCTAAGATTCAATGTTGATCTTAAATTGTCTGAATTGAGACTTTAATGTACGAGTTCCAAGTGTCGTAGTGTTGATGGAGATCAAGACTTGTTAATGAGAAATGAAATTAGGACAGCCAGACTGTATGCAAATATTAATAGCTAATTTAGCAAATAATATCAATGAATTTGATTTCTTGTTCAATAAAACATGTGCAAGCCTCCTTTCCATGTTAAGAACTCATCTCAGTGTAAACACTTGACAGTGTATACTGTATACATCGCAAAAAGTCCATGACTGACGTCACTGCTGTCATGATTGAAGGCTTGCCCCGCCCATTTATCAATTTTCTGTGATTTCATGGAAAGGTGTATGCAGTACATAGAGTTGACTGGTGGAGTCAGTTGTGAACAGGAACATCATGAAGAAGAGGTCAATGGGGCACTCACCAGAGGGCATTGTAGTGCATCAAGATACCAGAAGCATTCGTCATAGATTTTACTGTATTTGTCAAATAAAAGTTGTCATGCCTGCCTAAATAACAATGAATTATTGGAAATTAATAATTACAAATTATAAAAGATAAGGCAATCATACTTAAAGTTAAAACTAGTATCCCAGCATATGCACACTTTGGGAATTTGGACATTATGTTGCTGTTGCCCCTCATGGAGGTGAACTGTCTAGATTGAATATGTTTGGTGGAAGCATGAAATGCTGGTATTATAATGTTAATGTTACGTATTATGGATTATTTTGGGGTTTTAGCAATAGCTGGGTGCTAGTTTTATCACCAGAGGAAAGAGGTCAATTTTTTTCATCATAAGTTGGATTATCAGGCAAGAAAATTATCTTGCAAATGAATTCATTGAATTTAAATGTTAAATGATGCATTTGAACTTAGACTGCTGAAATACTTGATGCAATTGTTATAGTGAGATTGCCATCTTTGTATTACTGACAGGCCCGTAGCCAGGGGGGTTCGCAGGGTTCGGGCGAACCCCCCCCCCCCCCCCTGGCCAAAAATTCTTTCAAAATCATGCAGTTTTTCACCATTTTGAGCACTTCTCAAGTGATTTTAGCCATATTTGAGCCAAATTTGTCAAATGTGAACCCCTCCTGGAAATTTTTGAAAAATGAACCCCCCCTTGGCAAATCCTGGCTACGGGCCTGACTGATTACACATTGACACATTCCTATCAGGGTTAATCATCTACGAGGGTTGTCCCAGAAGTAATGCACTATACATGTATGCTCTAACTTGCTTCAATATTCTTCAATTCAGCTGAAATTTTGTGTATATAACAATTGGAGTCTTGTCTATTATATCCTGAAGTTTCAGCAATATTCCTATGTATGGCATATACCAGTTCGTTAAATAAGTTCAAAGAAAAATGCTGTCATTTTAAAGGGCCTTAGTATTTTTATTGCACCCTTAGTTGCTTTAATGTGATCATTTTTTCATAGTTACTATTATTTTTGATCAATCAGAATAGAGATGTTTCTATTTTTCTAATCAATGACTAGATATTCACTAAATCTCATGTGAAAATTTCATGAAAAAACATTAAAAGCATTTTTCCACAAACTTATAAACAACCTGGTATATCATCAGTAACCATGAAATCAATGAATACTAAATAATTTTGACATAATAACTCCCTCACTCACTCAAAAGCTCTGCATGTCATGTAAAATATGTTGAATTTAACTATTTTGGCTAAATTGTGCCTTCAGTTCAGTGAATGGCAGAATATTGTGAAGATACATGTAGTACTGTATTATTACATTTTTGTAATAATTTGACAATTTTACTTATAAATGCATTTAGATTATAAATAAAAAATGTTTGAAATGTATTTTTAAAAGACAAATAAAAATCAAATATTTTTCATATTCCATAACTGTATTTATTTGTTACTTTCTACTGTGGCTAGATATTATTACCATAGTGAATCATCATCTCCATGGGCCAGAATCTGTTAGTTGTGTTTTATAAGTCTCTGTTAAAATGTGTGCCAAATTATTGATTTACACTCGCAGTACTTCATAATTTATCATCAAAAACATTTCATTGATTTGTTAATCTGATCCAGGTACATGACCTTTATTTTGCTTGACCTCCATCAGAGACCTCTAAATAAAATGTCTGTTTTGATAATGTTGACATTGACTTTATAGAAATAAGGTGCATTGGTGCATCTGTATACCTTTATTAATATATCTGAGATCAATGAAGAGGCTGATAACTCAAAACACTGATAAACTCCTGCTAAACTATTTGAATATGGCTCAACTGAACAAAAAATGAAAATCCACTCAACTGACCAAAAAATGAAAATCCAGATGACAGTGCGTCTGTAGACATACTTTTAGTTCATTTCTTTATTTAAAGATGGCAGCCATAGTCCATACAATCATAAACCCATCTTGATTCACGAGGTTTCACAAGGAGGATTGGCTCCCAGGATCGACACTCGATATTTTCCAACAATGAAAACGTCGAAATGTCGTTATTTTCGGAAATTATAACCGACTATAAATTCAAAATAAACGGTCCAAAAGATTCGAACTAATATCTCGATCATTTCTTGTGAGTTTGGGAATTTTTCGTGAGGAAATAAGATCAAAATTCACGATTCAAATGTTGAAGTGAACAAAATGGCGGATGCTTGAATTCGAATTTTGTATCACGACATGCTCATATATGGGACAGAATATCGATGTTGCACTCTGGGAGCCAATCCTCCTTGGAGGTTTCAGTTGTTCCAACCTCACTCTACTACCTTGCATTTGGTGTTCATGAGCAACCCATTTGGCTTATTAGTAATGATTATGTCATTTGTTTTTATCGGCTGTTCCTTATGAATGGTTTATCGGATGACTTTTAGGTGGTAATAAGGTAAAAAAATAAAAATATACTGAACAATACAATTAGACAACGAGAGCACCTTAGAAAAGCGACGATGTGATAAACCATGCCGGAAAACCATGACATCTCATTTCTTCTCAGTCCTGAGATGAAACAGAAAGATGTTATGAGTATCAGAATGCAATTAAACCAATAATGTGGTTACATTCAGTGGACTTGTCAGTCTCAAGGTTTCTTCTATTCCTTCCTGATCGTGCTGTTCTCAATTGATAGAATTCCAATTTCAACCGAGGAAATTAAATTCTCTCAAATTAAATATTTGATGAGAGTTTAGCCTTGTTTATACAAACGAGTGACCTAGACGGTCATTTAATCACTGTTTGAAATTTAAAAATGTTACAATATAAAAACGCAATAGTACTTATCCTCAGTTTGTATCGTTGATAAAACATTCGTGTATGTTTTTAGAACGCTCGCGTGTAAACAAAACTCAGTGTACATTTTCAAAAATATGCATTTTAACTAAATCAAAAAGTTGATGTAAAATTGATGTAAAATTTGATGAATTAAAAAATGCTAGAACCCATGTTAACCAACAGGAAATGGTGGGTTAGGGGCAAATCAGATTTTTTGTATATCTATTCAGAAAAACATTTATCAAAAATAATTTCCGAGTAGACAATTGAATTGTTTTATTTTCTACAGGCTTAGTGTTTAAAACGCTTACTGGTGAGAATTAACAATAAGTAGCATCAAAGTATTTGCTAATAAACCATATGGGGAACTCATTTTTGACCCGCGCAATTTTGACTTTGGAGACTCATAACTTTAGTGGAAAACAGGGTAAAAGAATTATTTTTTTGTAGACAAGTTAGCAAATTCAATCTATTTAAATTCCATTTTTGAGAGTAAACTTAATTGGATGGATGGATATATTCTCATTTGACTTTTGGCAACCCAACCATTTCCCATTATGTGGATTCTACCATTTTTTAAATTCATCAAATTTGACATCAAATGTTGACCTTTGCACATATAATCTGGGATACTGGACACTTCACAAAAATCAGTAACTAAACTTTCTAAACTACACTAATTCCAAGATATTTAATTGAATGCAAAACTTGGACCTCACGACGTGACGTGAACGAAAGTTATTTAAAGCATGACATGACTTTGTTTAAAACTTATGATGTTTTATGAAAAGTATGACGGGTTAATTTTCAAATATGACTGTTCACTGTTCAAACTGAGAGGTGTTCACTTTTCAAGGTTTTTGAACATGAAAGTCATGGAAAAAGAAGGGGGTGAAAATGTGTTTGATTGATCAACCAGTAGGCTTAAACGTATGCGTTTTTATATCCATGCTTTGTATTTAGATAACTTCTTTTTTAAATTCATCTTTATTGTGGTTTATTTGTCAAACGGATCCTTATATCTTTGATATCAGTGATATCGAATTAATTTACTATTTGTAATGTGTACCTTTTGTCAGTCAATGGGTGATACGTCAAACATCAAAGGGGGAAATCACCGCCACTGAGAAGGCATATTGATCCATTGGTGTTAGCAGACCATTTTTGTTCCTACGCGTCATAATATAGTTAACGATAATGTTTTGAAAAAAAAGTCAACCTATTTGAATAAAGTATAAATTATACAGATATAATATAAGACATACAATAATTAATTCAATTATTTGTTTGTTTTATATTTGCTGAATGATTTGCTGTTCTATCTGTATTACGCGGAGTAATGTTACAGCGCACATTGTCTCAAATAGTTCCGACAATTAGCATAATGAGGGAATCGTGAAAAGTCGATGTCAAATTTTGGGGAATAATCTCCTATTTTCTAGTGGATAAACAAAATATTTGAGAGATTTATCGACACGGATATATGTAGCAGATATTTAAATTCGTGTATGCCCAATATGGGGGCACAGATATGGATATACGGTCTGATATTGGCCATTTTGTGTTCGTCGGGTAAGTACTGTAATATCGCCCATTGATTTTTAATGTTTTGATATTCATTCATTATCATTATGTATGAATTCACTGTTATCCCTGGAATGACGCCTTTGAAAGTGGTTATCCTGCAGTGTTCATCAATCATTTTTTCTGTGTCACACACACCTGTGATTATTGTACAGTGTACACTCTGGGATAGATATGATAGTCTCCTTAGGCCAGTGTAATAAGATTTGACATGAAATTGAAACGTTCGAAGGCACAAACTCGATTTTCCACATGATCTGTCAAATCGGCCAGTTTATGGACAAACCTGATCAAGATTTCAATTGTTCACTGTTTGCATGGAGCGGCTCTTTAGCAACCTTGTTTGTCTAAAGCATTTTTTCAGAAATTCATTTGTTCAATATCAGAAATGGAGAGCTGGATTTCTGGGGGGGGGGTACTCCCATATATTGGCTATATGGGGACGTGCCGCTAAAGTGATGAAAAAATCCCTAGAAATGGGTCTACTTTTTGAAAAATCCTGACTGGGTATTGTTTTTTAAAAAAATCGCCGGAAGTTGGTCTTGTTTTTTAAAAACTAACTTGAAGTGGGTCTATTTTTGAAAGAAAAACCCTAGATGTGGGTCCATTTTTAGAGAAAAGAATCCCTAGATGTGGGTAGATATTTTGAGTCTCAGCGGCACCCCCCTGTACAAAAATTTGACCAGTACCCCTCCCCCTCACATTCTCTCAAAGCAAAAAAAGTTGCGTCTCTCTCAAACAGCTAGAGAAAATTCCCTACTAATTATGAAATCCCTGTATAAATATAATATGTAATAAATATTGCCCCAGGTGAAAACAGATAGACACCTAGATATATCAAGATGAGTTGAAATTCATCCATACGAGATATACCACAACATCAATGAGATCTTCCAATATACAGTAAAACCTATCGAAGTAGAACACCTATGGTACCTCTAAAAAGTGCAACAATTAGTGCAGAGGCGTCATTCAATGATCATGGACCAGTGTCAAAATATATTTAAGTTTGGATATTTCATCAAGACTAACATATATGTTTATTATCTCCAAAGAAACCCCCTGGATGAACATTATTTCAGATATAATAGGTATGTCTGAAATAAGATATTAAGCAAAATGCCTCATAGCTCAGAAAAAGTAAAAATTTTTGAATTTTCTCTACAAGCCCTTGTTGCCCCTTTGAACATTAGGTCAGTTGGTCTTCGAGCTTAGAAAAGTGTTCCACTAGAGGTATTTCACTTTATGAGGTGTTCCACTTAACAGGTTTCACTGTAGAACTAAGAGGTCCTTAGTCTATTCATATTCAGTCTGAAGTGTTTGTATACATCTATTTACTCACTTCGTATTCTATACATAGCCATTCTCAATCATACTATTAAAAATACTTTAATTTCTCAAATTTTTAAATCTGACCAAAAAAAGAATTTACATTTGGAGTTTTAGTGAATTTTGGATTTCATAGACTGAGAGGGGTATTTCCATTCTGGTTTCATATCAAGTTGTTCATTGTTTTGTGTTTAAAGGTTGAAAGAGCGGGTAAAGAAAAGCACAAATATTCATGTTGAATAGAATTTGAATAAAACCCTGCACTAGACATGCCTTATGGCCATTGATACTGTTTGCCCTTGTGTTTTCTTTAGAAATATACCCTGCCGTATTATCACAGTTACTGCTCAGCACTGAAATGTCCTTATTTTCAAGTTTGTTATTCCTCCTCGTGATATTTCTATAAGACTAAATGAAATGTCCAATTTTTTCTTGAATTTATATTTTTAGAGTTTTGTATCTACAGGATTTACCTAGTTTTATCATACCTTTTTATTTAGAGTTATTAGATTTATTATTAAGGATTTGAAGGTACATTGTGTATAAAATGACAAAGACAAGTCAAGTTGAACTAGTGTATGATATACAGCAAGAAAATATTTTTCTTTGAAAGGATGGATGGTAGAAAAGTCTACATCCTGAAATGTCTCGTATATGAGTTATATAGTCCTGAAATATCTCACTCAGTCTTGAAATATTTCTCTTATAGATTCAAATATCTCATCTCACATATTCCCAAAATATTGGGTATATAGAGGATATCCTATGATTTATGAGTGATATGATTTTTATCCACGAATGGATATGATATCTGCACGAGCGAGCGTAGCGAGAGAGTCATATCACTCATAAATCATAGGATGTTCTTTTTATTCCAAAGTTAAAGTCATCAACAGAATCATGATGTCAGTTCTAACTGTAGCATGTATCATATCGGGGCACATTGTGTACAACTGTACATATAACACATCTCTTTTGGCTTTATTTGGTTTATCATGATGTTTGATCAAAATACTGGTACACATATTTATTTTCTTTTTTGTGGTTTAACTAGTGTTTCAGTTTTAAGAGTTAGTTGAATCATAATTACAAGACCTCTTTTGAAGCTGTGTCTACCATCACCAGATAATCTCCTTTTTGTGGATTGTGTTTGGCAGTCGGTGTACGGCATTCAGCATCTGTAACAAATGGCAGGTGGTAATATTTTGCATTGCCTCGTTTGCCTGTTTCTATATTGGTGAGATATCTGGTCTGAAGCTGCACCTCTGTGCCTTACTATGGAGATCTCTGGGGGCCACTCTGACTCAGTATCTCATTGCAAAAATCGATCAATTACAGTTCCATTCTATGATAATTCACTACTGAATAATTTACACATTGCATACATCATGTATTGTTATCACCCATATATGTGTAGGGGACTATCTAGCTACTTCACATGAGTACCTAGCAACACTGTATTATAACAGGACTAAGAACCAGTAATTGAAACACCTCAGTGGGGTAGATAACCTAACATTGCTGAAAAATGAAGAAAATCGGCAACGATGAATTTGTTTCGTTAACATTTCATTATCTGAAATCTTGTTTTTATTTTTATTTATTCTTTTGAATAATGATCAAGATGAATTATGAATGAATTATTTTTAAGATTCTCGTAACAATCAAACTTAGGTGATATGAGGAAATGTAGAAATAGATTATATCATCAAGTTTATTTAACTTCCTAGATTTTTATTATGAATCTATGGCAAACCTACATATGGGAGAACCTCTCTTATTTGAACAAATATTTTTAGATATCAAATCTGTCCTTTCACAAGAACACTTTTGACTGCACTTGGGCTTGGTCCATTCACCATAGATAGGTTTAGTATATAGACGATAATCAATAATTGTGTCTGCTTACAGTGCTTAGCCACAATATAGGATGTGAATACAAGTGACAGAAAAATCTGGTTCTATGGTCAAAATTATTTTTATGGCACAATTTTTACCGCACCCTTGGGTGCTATATTCAAAAAAGTGAGAGAAAGCGTTCACATTGAGAGGAATTTAGATTAGAGGTGTTTGGGTAGATAGGTTTTTCAATATTACATATTAACAATTTTGGAATTTGTTTTTGGGGGTGAGAAATTCAAATATTATCATACTAGGACAGGGGTTTCAAAAGCAACAGGCAACGGTCGATTTTCACCAGTTGTTTTCACAAAATCGCCTTTTGTTTTTAGGGACTTTTCAACTTTCTCATGTTCAATTTATGATTTCCATTAATTTTGTCTGTTGTTTTCATTTATTTAGCCTGTTGTGAGAAATTCTAGTGAAACCCCTGTAAGAACTACCACCTAATTTGACATTCATGATAACAAAAGCAGAATATGTATGTAGTGTCTGAAATAAGATACCCGGTAACTCAGAATGAGCTTATCAGCCATAAAGCAGCCAAAGCAAATAATTCTGGAATATTTGACTGAAGAAAGCTACAAATTCTAAGGGGCTATTTTCTATGTTAAGAGTTTAGGTAATGATATAAGCTATAAGTGTGTTAAAGTGGCTTTGGGGGTACTGCTCTCTGGGCTTAAATCAACATTTATAAAATACCTGTATAGCAGTCAAATAAATCGCATAAATCTACCTGGACCCTTTAGATTTCTCAATTTACCTTGTAAGTTATAGTGCACCTAGTCTTGAAATTTTAATTTTCCAGAAATGAAGTATTGGAACATAGTTGGTTATACTTTTTAAGATATTTGATACCGAGTGGCATATTATTTGATACAAATCATATGTTTACAGAGTTAATGAAAGAAAAATATTCAAAATCACAGCTTTTGATTTTCAAGGTGTAGATCAATATTACGAAATACTCACACAGTCGGAATAATCTGATTCTCAAAAGGGCCAATATAGCGCTAAACTGACCCTGTTAGCTTATTACGCAAATATGCTTAAGTTGGCGAATGTCTCGCGAGCTACCATTCATAGAAAACATGATCCAATCAACGCAATGTAAACAGAGCTTACTTGTTAAGATGTATGGTGGTTTCACACTGTATTTCAATGGGGTAATCACATTTCACACTACTCACTGTGAATGAGTATGGATTGATTTGAAGTGTGCATATTTTGGTAAATCATTGATACCCTTGTCAAGATACTCTAGCCCCTGTACCCCCCCTCTCCCACTACTTGACTTCATACCTTCTCACACACAAGTAAGTAAATAAAACGGGGGGGGGGTGTCAAGAGTTGAAACAATACAAATATTATAGATCCCATTGGTTTCTAAGTTAGGAATTGTTGACCATTTTGTTGTGGTTAAACCCCCATCCTTTTCTTCCTTTTGAGGAATCTTGACACTTGTTTGTTTTGCTCATCTTGGCTTGCAAAGGTATGATGTTTTCATCTACATTTCCATCTACCTTTATAAGTTAGCTAGCTTTTATTTTATATTCAAATTCCATATCAGGTCATGACTGCTACCTTTGCAGTTATTGTATCACCACCAGAATTGGTGATACACATTGGTACACTCTCTAACTTTTTGGGAGACAGTGTTTGTGTGTTTGTGATAAATGGTTAGCGTATGTAACAATATTGTCTGCAAGAAATGGCAGGTGGTAACATTTTACATGTTTATGCCTTGTCATACTTTTTTATGGAACTTTTTAAGGTTTTTCTTACATTTTATTGTAACCTTTTCTGCGCCTCAGTGATTTCAATGTGGGGAGAGCCATGCATTGTCAAACACTAGACTGTTGACATTGTATGTAGTTTGTGTTTTATAATTTGGTGTGTTTGATGTACCAACTTGAGTTGTATTCATTTAACCCGGTCCTGCTAATTTAAATATGTTGAGATTGTAGTAAATAATTCTAAGCGTGGAGTAAAGTGTGAAAAAGTTTTTATTAACATTTAATTGAAGATGAAAAAATAGTTTATGTTCAGTTGTTTATGCTATGTAGGTACATGTTCATGTCTATTTTTTCCTCTTTAAATTTGCACTTATATATAATTACCCTGATTTAGAAGTAACGTCTTCCCTCTGAAAAGGATGAATAAGAATCAATATACTTTAGATTATGCAGATTCACACTATGGTCCTTTTGGCTTAGTCTAGTTACCCTAGAGACCACCCTCCACATACCTCTCCACAGGTGGGTTGGGGAAGTAGATATGGGGGAGGGGCTCCAGTCTTGAAGCAAGACTACATAAACATATGTCATGTTAAAACTTGTCCTCTCAACATGACAAACAATAACAGACATTTCACAAATAACTATTTAATCTTCTGTTACTATGTATACCAATACAAATAACTGCTTAATGAACAGAGATTTATTCAGCTTGTCTATTAGGTAAATGCATAGTGCAATTTCATTTAGAGCAAAACACATCTTACAAAACACAAAAAAATCTTGTTAAAGAAATTATACAAAAATGTGTGAAGGAATGATTCAAACATAAGAGTTGTAAAACAGTTCTCTGTTTGGTAACATTGTTTTAAAGTGGTAAGATAACAGAATACTGTTTAACAAAGGGACGATTTTCAAGAGTCCTCAATAGTGAGTTTAAACAAAATGTACCTTTCACTATGGTGTTAAGAGGCTAGATCTTGATAACAGGTCAAATCTAAACACAGTTGTTAAGATTGTGAATTAAAGTAGAGTGCTTTGTGGTGAAAAAAACATAACTGCGTGTGTTCACCTAAGAACAATAAATGCACTCATCACAAAGAAGTATTGATGGACTTTAAATGCACTGATGATTGCAAATAAGTGAGACTTAATTTTTCCTGTGATCATGGAATTTCTTAAGAAAAGTCTAATTTCAATGTTCTTGGGATTTTTACTTAAATGCCATGGGTGCAATTGGACAAACGTCTCATATTTACAATTCAGGCCAAAATTGGTCTGAATGTGCCTATTTGACACATTTTTAAATGGTCCAAGTCTCTTCTGAAAATTTCAAATCGGTGCAGCACCCACTTGGTATCATACTGGGAAAACAAAACGCATGTAATACATGCATATCGTTCTTTCTTCTAGTTTTCGATAAATAACCATATTAAATTGAACATTACAACCTGTTTAGGTTAGCTTGATAGGAATATGTTTAAACAAATATGTTACACAGTTGAGGAAAAATCCTGGTGAGAAACTTATAAGGGTGAGGTTGATTAACTAGCAGTAGAAATCTCCAATGTAACCTACACTGGCCTATACTCCAGGAATCTAGATGTAATCAGACCTTCTACCATATTGCTTGCTAGATTGTCAAACCATCATCAGATCAATATAATTCTTGCATCTTCTGGAATTTAATTTCCGTTTCTATGGTTACGAATCCCTTAGAGGCTGAGAGATTACATGTGAAAAAGAGTCAGATGCAATAGATGGTTTAACAGTGATACTTCTTTTGAATCATGCTATAATTTCTTGATTTTATTCCGAACCAAACTATGAACTAGAGTACAAAAAGCACAATATTACTATATCAGCAAACAAAACTAGATTCACGGATGTATTTCCTATTCTTATATTACTGTTCAGGAGGCAATCAGTGAATTGGTATATATTCATCACAGTTATTAGTCTGCATGGAAAGGGACCTCTGAGAAAATCAATAATTCCCTCCCTTTCCATTATATTCAAACATGATCCTAGAATTTCTTCAAGATCTTAACATAAAACAAGGAGAACTGAGATCTGAGCAGTTCCTGATTTTCTTCTGAGATTTCATTCTTATTCTGTTCATTGTATTCTGTCGAATTTAGTAAAAACAATAATTCTGTGGACTGTGCCCTATTTTTCTATACATGTTAATAAAATATTATGTTGTCAAAACTCCAAAGTAGAATTTTCAAGAAGTTTTGCTTAAAAACTCGTCACCTCAGATATTTTAAAAAATCCAATTTTGAGGAGTTTTCATTATAGAACAAGATAAGTATGTTATTTTTTGTAAGGGCCAGTCAATATTTCTCTCCATGAGATCCAGGAGTCCTGATTCATCCCAGTCCCTTGCAAGACAGTAATCTCCAATAAATAGATATATGCAGTCTTCCTCAAATAACATTCTGATAAAAAAAAAAATAGAATAATTTGCTCATAGTTTCATTTCACTGATAATTCTTCTAGTTGCAAAATTCCTGGAATATTTTCTAAAAAATGATATTTTTGTAAATGATAACTTTTAGAAAGGTACAAGAAATTAATCTATATTTTACAGTATCTGTTATTTCTGTTTTCTATGCATTCATTGAATGGAAGAAAGTGACATAATTATAACTCACTGGCTATGTGTATTATATACGTATTTCATATAATAACACCGGTGGGAAGAATATTGACGAAATCATTATCAAATTATGTTCAACCATATGTTGTACTTAGTATATGTAATTCTGGTGTATTATATACATATAATTATTTTGCCTACCCATAATGGATTAATACCATATTTGATAAATTATAGATCATGTTAGACGATATAATATTTTTCAATTAGTCATCCATTTTTCTGGTAGAACACAGTTTAGCTTTTACATTGGATGTAGCCAGGCTCCAAAATAGGCAAGGTGAAACTGGAGCCAAAAAGTATATCATAATTTCTATATAATTTAATTTTGATTTTTAAGTTGAAAAATGTCTAAAAGATATGTGTCTGTAAAAGCATTACACACCCTTTCCTGCATTGTAGAAAGCTACATCCATGAACACCCATTTTTATTGTCAATCGACTATTGGTGGATAGGATGGGGGGGGGTTGACTAAACCAAAATCTGGATGGATAATTTGAAATTCAAGACATTAGTTCCTCTAGGATACCAGGTCCCGCCAAAATTAATGACTAATAAATGAGCCACTTTTTGTTTAGATTAACTTGAGATTAACAGATTAAGATTAACCTCTTCCTGCAAAGTGAGATAATCTCATAAGTTGAGATAATCTTATATTAATCCACCTTGCAACATCAATCATAATATTTACCTCATGTAGTCCAAGATTATTTTCTTTTAATAAAACCTCTAACGAATCTTGTTAGCACTACTATGATAATAGAGTTCATACTTTGAAGTTTTGTTTTTATTTCTGTTTTATTGTTTGTTAGAGAAATCCTAAGTGGAACAAATTTGAACATTTTGTAAGAGTGTCCCTCTCTTGAAGATGTTTAAGTCATTAACAGTACTTTGCAGCCAGAAAATTCCACATTAAGAATCAATAAAAACACACATCTTTTGAAAATTCTTCTAATTTATTCCTGCATATCCTAACTCAACTGAGATCAAAGTATGTTTCAGAGGATGTATGTATCATATCCCATAATGCACTGGTATAAAACCAATGTGAGCACTTTAATCAGTTATTGAAATGTTTATGTTACCAAATGTATCTTGGAATTATTCTGAGAGCTCTAGTACATACCCCTATGCAATTTGATCAATTTAACTACCCTGCGTGCAGAGTCTAGTTAAACTACACTCTGCCTAGTAGAGACCATATTACAGTTGAGTAGCTCCGCCCCCACGATGGGTACCGGTGACAGTTTCGGTAATAAATCACTTTTGACCTACGCGCTGACCTTTCTTCAACTTATCAGCGAGCTTGAAGAAACATACGCTAAATGCGTTCTAATTAAATATGCGCATGTCATTGGTCAATTCCGGGCTCAACGATGACGTCAGAAGTAATGACCATATATAGAACGTCGGTCAAATTTGGCCGACGAACACTGATTGGCGCGGTGAGTTCACAGGTTTATTTTAGTTTGAAAGAGTGAAGACGAAGCTCTCTTTTAAGAAGTGAAGTCAAACGAATGCAAAGGGTACAATTTAACAGGATAAGGCTCATAAACATTTATACCAGTTTTATAGTTCTAACAGAAATGTAGGCCTTTAAGTTCAAATCTATCCAATAGTTCTGTACATATGGTAAAATTATTTTTTTAACCCCCACCCTGTAAGCTTGTGAATTCCACCATTTGTTCATGATAGATTTATCACAAATATTTATCAAAAAAAAAGATTTCTGTAAGTTTTCTTTAAAATCTGATATTCTGAATCTTTTTTATGTCTAAAATATTGGTAAAGAGGTCTGCTATTAACAATGATCACTAGAGCAAGCCATGATAATACAAGATAAAGCTCTAAAGTTAGTGAATTTTATTTACTCTTTTATAAACAATTTCTCTTGTTAATTGCAGGTTATTCTACTCGGATGCAAGTACAGATGGACCCCTTCAATGCTGCATATTTCTTATGGACCCCAAAGACAACAAAAACTGGCCACGCTAAAACCCAACTAGACGAAACCTTTGTTGTTATGAACCCCCAGGATTCCAACAAAATCAGCGTGAATTATGGGCCATTTTCTGACACGAAAACAATCACCCCAAATCTTGTCGCAAATAATTATAGCAATGTTTTACATAATGTAAAATTAGAAGGAATCGATATAAGTGCTCATTTACTGCAAGAAACCATCACAAGGGATTCGTCAGAAATTCAAGTTTTATTCCACGCAGGACAAATCCAGGATAACAACAGTGAGAAGTCCTCTAAAGGGAGCTATAGCAAGAAACGCCCGATGTATTATCAGGAAATCGAGCAAAAATGGTGCTTACATATGTATGTGTTACTTGACACTCAGGAGCTCGCGTCGTCATGTATTCTAAGCAGCTTCACCGGGACGTGCATGGGAAGTGTAACCCTACCCAGTGAATGGTGGCAGGGCTTGTCTATACACCCAAAAGCAGATATTTACTATTCTGCATACAGTATCAAAGAAAATCTAGAATGTTCTACGGCGACTAACTCAATCGTGCCAGATAAAACAAATGACCGCGAGGTTACCCGTTACTTCGTTAGCTCGGTTCCGATGGTTACAGGAGCACCGATTTTTGACGAACGGAAGGAGGATCAGCATATTTTGGTGTATATTCCACGACAGGTTTTCCACCCTGGGACCAGATTTAAAGTTCCTGTTAAGCTCCAAGCAGAATCTGATCTTCAACTATTCGTTGTTAGGTGAGTAAACAAAATTCCTTTTAACATTACGTTGAGGGGTCTTTTCAGAAAAAAGATTTTGGGGCTGGCCATTTTAAGAAAAATAGAGGGTGTCCATAACAGAATTCTTTACATTTTACACAGACTTAAACATTCTGATACTCATAGCATCATTCTGGTTCATCTGAAACATCATCTCAGGGCTGAGAAGAAATGAGATGTCATTGTTTATCATGATGAGACTTATATTGTAATTGTAAAGAGACTTTATAGACACCCTGTATATTTTTGTGGTTATTTATCAAATTGATAACTATATGGTTATTGAGAAAAGATTGACAGATAGGTGTTTCTAAAATGAATTCAAGTTATAAAATTCCACAATAATTAAAATCACATACAAATATAGTTTCATTGATACATGTATTGATTTACATAAGTTCAGCTGCGGAGATTTCTTACGAAGAGAAAATCACCATTCGGGTAAACTTTTATTACTGTGAGGCAAACGGAAGAAACATGAATTTGTGGCTCAGCCTGTTTAACTTTTTTTTATAAGTGGTTTGCTCCAAGCAAAGTTTCTATTCTGCAAGTGGTGTCCATCAGTGGTTGAATGTATATCAACAGCATGTCTGCTTCTTTGATTACTTTCCAACGAGGGAATGTTACCTTTAAAAAGATACATTTATGTTGATTAGAATTTAGGGAAATGGCTGTAATGCTACACATGATATTTCCCTTATAAAAAAAACAACCATTTTTTCCGAAATTCAATGGTTTCATTGCATATCATGTAACCATCATTTCAACCTTGAAGATCAAAGGAAAAATCATTATATCAACCATTCAAAACCATTGCGCAACCATTACTTCACCCATCTTTTCAACCCTTTTTACATAAAGTTGCAATGGTTACGCAACCATTTTTGAGAAACCATTGCAAAACCATTACAACCATTACCCATCGAAATTAACAGTTACAATTGATTGCAACCATTGATGGAGAACTGCAACTATTGCAACCATTAATCCTCAAAATGAATGCTCATGGGCAGACCTGTAGCCAGCTTTTGCACTTTTGACAAATTTACAAGGGGATACATATTTTATAACTATGGCCAAAAATTGGCCAAAATCACTTGAAAAGTCCTCAATATGGTGAAAAACTGCATGAATTTGAAATAATTTTTAGCTATGGCTATGTTGATATTATTAGTATGTTTTTTTTAAGTAAGCATGTCTGTAGTCTGTAGTCTGCAGTCTATCACACTCTTCTCTCATTAAAGAATTTTTTTTGGACTTTGTGTGTCTCGGATCTTGTTCTCAATGACAAGTCTGACGTCACTTCCAGAACAACAAAAAACATACACTTATTTGTATATATCATTTAATCTAATCCCTAGGGTTTTAAACACTTATTTCTATGACTATTGCAATCACTTATCAGGTATCGTTTTTAAGGAGAATGAAAAATGCAGAAATCTTGTAAGAAAATAAGGATTCTTTTTTGTTTCAATTCAATAAGAAAATTGTAGAAATACAAATTAAGATTTCACATTATTGAATTCAGATAAGGTACAAAGACAGAGCAGCAACAGTTGCACAGACAGAGCGGCAACGGTTGAAATGCTAATTATAACCATTGAAAAGCTAATTATAACCATTGAAATGCTAATTATAACCATTGAACAGCCAATTAGATAAAGTTCTGTTTTGATAGTTTAACAAAATCATTACAAATTAATTCTTTTTTTAAGAATTATTTTTGTCTGAATAATTTATTTTTGAATTCCCCCTACCATAATAATGACACAATCATAGTAAATTAGATGAGATTCACATTAAGATTTTTGAAGCCAGCTATGGTCTTGATGAATTCTCTTTTTTCTAGCGATAGTTAACTTAAGGTCATAATACAATTTTGAGACATATCCAACTTCAAGTTCATGCTCATAGGCCTAAAACCATGTCTAGTAAAAGGAAATATCATCTATTCAAGTGTTTAAGATATTTCCCTTTCAGTCATTATGATTAAAGTTTAATCCAATAGTAATTAATATTTTTTGATTTGTAAATGATATTGAAGAAAAGACAATCAATCCGGCTCTTGCCTAATCCAAAGCATAAATACAAGGATGTTGATGTTTCAAAATCATGTTTTGGAAACATTTTCAGTTTAATCTACTTAATTGTTGTAATAAGACTTCTTTGATATTGAAGAAGCAGTTATTTTGGCACTAGCTTAATCCAAATCATAAATAAGAGGCAGGAAATACAATCTTTGATGTTTTATAATATGTATGTATGTACTTTTAGTCAGAAACATTTTTTTGTTGAGACAGGAGAAAAACAGAAAATTTCCACAGAATGTTTTGTTGTATTGTTCAGTAAAACTGAATGAATCAAGAAGGAATTTCCAAATAAACTACAAGAATGACCAGTGCCAAAAATGAATACACTTGATTCTCTTCAATAAAATAGAAATACTATCTCTATGAACATGAACTTGAAGTAATTTTCAGTACCAAAAATGAATAAACCTTATTCTTTATAGAAATAATATGCCTATGAGAATGAACTTGAAGTCATATCCAGTGCCAAAAATGAATAAACCTTATTCCCTTCAATTAATTAGAAATAATATGCCCATAAACATGAACTACTGTAATTTGAAACATAATAATGCATTCAATTTACTTGTATGTTCTTCATGTTTCAAATTGTCTCATTCTTAAACTAAATAATTTCCACAATATGGTTGAAAATAGTTGCAACCATTTGGTTAAATGCAACTTAAACAATCAATGGTTTGTAATGGTTGCAAATGATTCCATAATTTCAATGATATGCAACCAAAGTTTTCAACCAAATTTTAATGGTTGCAATGTAATGGTTGGAAACCATTTCAATTGGTTGCAGCAATGGTTATGCAATGATTTGTAATGGTTGCGCAATGGATTTTAATGGTTGAAATTCGGAAAAAATGGTTGTTTTTTTCCTAAGGGTTGTGAACCTTATCTCAATATATGCCAGTGTTTTTACAATGTCATTTAGTTTTATGGTAAATGAGACTTGAAGGCTATTTGAGGTTTAGAATTCGTTCTGTAGGGTTCCAACCTTTCCAGATTTGTAAGGTCATTTGTATTATGTTTTATGTTAAACAGAAGTTAGCAGGGATAACTCAGTGGTCATGAGTTTCGAAATTCCAATAATGATATCCTGGCATTGACGGTTTTTTGGATTCTGCAGCCATTTAAGAAATATTACTTGCACCATGGGCTTTCAATTCTAGTTGAAAGCCCATGCTTGCACCCATAAAATGATTATTTGCACCCACATAATAATTATTTGCAACCACATAATGATTATTTGAACCCAGTTTAAAATTACTATGTTGAGAATTCTTTAAATGGAGCTTGCACCATGCCCCTCAAAACTTACCATCCTGCATAATATGAGACACAAGGCACTAAAATCTCTCATCCAAGACTTATCATCATTTGTATTAGTTATCTTTGACTTTTCTATATAATCAATATTAATTCAAATATGTGGCTTCTCTTGTGCTATTTCTCATACATCATTTTTCATCTCAGGCATCCAGAATCTGCAACTTTCCAATGAACTCTGAATCTTGTATTGATAGACAGAGATGAATACCAAGTTTCAGGGTGAAGAGAATCTAATGAAATCCTATGATAAATGAGGTTCATATCTATTGGCATTATCATGACTCAAGCCAACAGTGGTGAACCATTGAATAGTTTATCTTGCATACCTATAGACCAGTGTCCCTCAGAAATAGTTTCTACTGGTTTATATTGGTTAAATTGGTATTACCCACAGCCAGTTGCTAGGATTTGCCAAGGTGGTTCACTTTTTAGAAAATTCTAGGGGGTTCACTTTTGACTACTATGGCCCAAAAATTGCTTGAAAAGTGCTCAGAATGGTGATAACTGCATGATTTTGAAGAATTTTTGGTGGGGGGATTGAATGTACAGTATGGGATTTATTTTTCATATTTTTGATATCTTTTTGAGGATAAATGCTGACTTTTGAAGCTGGTTTCTGAGTATGAGGGCTGTTTAACTTAAAACACCTAAGAGTTGGCTCTAGTGGGAGTGCATAACATGTTTTTCATGTGTTACAAATTGCTAACTTCATCATTAACATACATACATTGAACAACATCCTGAAATAGTGATCTCATCATGATATGAAGTATAAAGAAGTTCAGATTTGGTGAAAATTGCTCTTGATGTTTGTCAGTTGATTATTTCACATGTTCTGCCAGGCCCGTAGCCAGGGGGTTTGATGGGTTCGAGCGAACCCCTCCCTGACCAAAAATTCTTTCAAAATCATGCAGTTTTTCATCATTCTGAGCACTTTTTAAGTGATTTTGGCCATTTAGGACCAAAATTGTCAAAAGTGAAGCCCCCCTGGAATTTTTCAAGAAGTGAACCCCCCCTTGGCAAATCCTGGCTACGGGCCTGGCATATTCCATGCCTGAGTGAATAGGTTATCATCGAGCAGATTTATCCACAGGTTGTATCGGCGATTCACATTCCGGAGATTGAACAACTCTCAAATATGCAATACAGGGGTTTCACTAGAATTTCTCACAACAGGCTTTAAATAAATGAAAATAACAGGCAAAATTAGTAGAAATCATATATTTTAACATAGAAAAGTTGATAATTCCCTAAAACAACAGGTGATTTTGTGAAAATAACTGATGAAAATCGCTTGTTGCCTGCTGCTATGAATCCTCTGTAATATCAACCAGATACTAACAACAAAAGCAATTTATCATGTTCCAATTTTTCATAACAATTTCTTACAACAGGTGAAATGAATATAAACAACAGATTCAATTATTGGAAATTACAGTTCTAACATGAAAACAATTGCAAAATTCTCCAAAATAGCAGGCAATTTTGGTGAAAAACTGAAGAAAATCGCCAAAATACTTGCTGCCTTTGAAACCAACCCACGAAAAAAGTCGCCCATAATAAAACCTA